AAGTCACGCTAGTATTAGAACAGTAATTAACAATACAACATTTTAAACAAAGATTACATCTACTGCTCCACCATGTAATTATACTACACGTATTTAACTTGATAAAGCCAGAATATCGATTCAAACAAGTCACGCTAGTATTAGAACAGTAATTAACAATACAACATTTTAAACAAAGATTACATCTACTGCTCCACCACGTAATTATACTACACGTATTTAACTTAATAAAGCCAGAATATCGATTAAAACAAGTCACGCTAGTATTAGAACAGTAATTAACAATACAACATTTTAAACAATAAAATGTATTGTGTTATTTTAATAGTAGGTAATCAAACTAAACGTGGAATACAAGTTATAAAACCATTGTAGTACGATGTAATCGACAACAACAAAGTAAAACAAAAAACTAATGTTAAATAAATGTTTTAATGTTCACAACGTTTCAGCCGGGGACACCCTTTCTCTGGTGAGTTTAAAAACAACAGATATGAAGTGTCTCAGCCCGAAACGTTGTGAATATCAAAACATTTATTTAACATTAGTCACTTTTCGTGATATAAGTTTTTATTTTACTTTTTGTTTTGAATATTTACGTGTCCTGACTAACTTCCCAGGAAATATCAACAAGTCTTGTTCATAATGAATGATATTACAAATAAATCTAAATAAATATTTACGTGTCCTGACTAACTTCCCAGGAAATATCAACAAGTCTTGTTCATATTGAATGATATTACAAATAAAAGAATATCTTGTACGTTAAACGGATATCGGTTAAAACTGGATCAACTCACTTCCTTGTTGCTACAATATCAAATAGATATTGTTATATCCTGTTAAATATCCAGTGAAACAACGAAAGCTATATACTAAACAATTCTTACTCCCAATAAACTCATTAACCACCAAAAATGAAAATATCTTAAACAATTTTGTTATTTCTACATTGATTTACATTTTATTCTTCGCTTATGATTGTGACGAATATCTAAAGTTAAACATCTAATGCGACAGATCCGATAGAATATCTTGTACGTTAAATGGATATCGTTTTATTCTTCGCTTATGATTGTGACGAATATCTAAAGTTAAACATCTAATGCGACAGATCCGACGGTTAAATTATTTATAGATTGTCTAGTTGATATGATTAATTGCTGTTGAAATTATGTCAAGAAAGCTACGTTTCTTGTTTTCGTTTAATAAGAAAAATGAATAAAGTCTTATTACGTTTATCGTAAACAAAATGTAAACACTCACGTGACACACACATAAACAGTTTAAAACTGGCGAAACCTGGAATAACTAAACAACTACAACAACAAATAAAATCAAGTTGATAATATAATAACGTGTAATTATTCGATGTAGCCACCGTAAGGTAGCAATTAATTATTTTCTGTTTATCTGTTTCTCTTTACGATTATACAAAAACCAATCTTCAATATAACACAGGAAGAAAATAATAGATCTTGACCCAGCTGTGTTTTACAACCTACACTCTTTGCAAAAAGAAATTTCACAACAGAGCACAGCGGGGGACCCAAAGGATATAACATTCTCGAGTGACAATGTGAGTAATGCACCAATATTTGCAACTTTTTATTTTCTTTCTGTAGGAAATTTTAATAACCCATAAACTCTACATTAATATCAGTAACACATTAGACGCTTACAAATCTGTTTATATCGTTGTAATGGTTTCTATTGTTAAAAGGATTATTTTTTTCATCATTCGGAAAAACTTATGCAAAGTTCAGTCCACTTGAGGTAAGGGAAAGCGTTTTATTTATTTTACAACGACTTGTACAAGTTCACGGAGAGATAGGCCTAGCTCAAAAAATAAACTAAACAGCCACTCACTTATTAAATATCCCCTCATATCCACGGCACAAACTCAAAATACGCTGACTAATACAATCACTAACTCTGTAATTGATGGACAAAAATAACTAACAAACAAACAGCTAACTAACTAACTAATTCTCAAATCAACAACAAATCTTCGTGTCGTTATATTATTACAAGTGGATATGTCCTTATCCTAGTGAGTGATGATTTGTTTTGAGACTGGATATGCCCTTACCCTAATGTGGGGAGTAACGTCTTATTTAGGAGAAATGTATCACAAAATCAGCCGACGCTGGTTTGACATAAGGATTGGATATTATTTCCATGAGATCCAGAGTTCAACGTATTTCAGAAGTGACATTATTGTCATAGGAGGTGGAAACACTTTTAAGGATTGGATATTATTTTCATGAGATCCAGAGTTCAACGTATTTCAGAAGTGACATTATTGTCATAGGAGGTGGAAACACTTTGAAACTTAATCACAAATTATATGTCTACCGGTTTCTAATGCTTCGTCAAGAACTTTTTTAATATTTTCATTTAGACGTTTGCTAGAGGTAGTTTTTGGCATAATTTAACGATAATATGAGACCCCCCCCCCCAGAAACTTCCTTAGTGTTCTGATTTGACGTGACCTAATAAATTGTCTGAATACTTTAAAAATAGTCTCAAAGCAACTCATCCCTCACTAGGGTAAGGACATATCTAGTCTCAAAGCAACTAATCCCTTACTATAGTAAGGACATATCCAGTCTCAAAGCAACTCATCCCTCACTAGGGTAAGGACATATCTAGTCTCAAATTAAATCATCACTCACTAGGGTAAGGGCATATCTAGTCTGAAAGCAACTCATCCCTCACTAGGGTAAGGACATATCCAGTCTCAAAACAAATCATCACTCACTAGGGTAAAGGCATATCCAGTCTCAAATCAAACTAATACATCAAACAATTCACGTGTCTTATACATCAAATTACCCCACCAAGCTTAACTTTACCCTTGTTAGTCTTAACTTCAGTTTGTGACAACACAAATAAATATTCCAGATGGACCGAATAGCAAAAGAAAATCTGTAAAACAGTGTGTATGCCAAGAGTTGTATATGAAAAATATAAAGTTAATTATGATATCAAATAAAGAACCTATATTTCAATAACTACATTTGTGTTAAAGATTTTATCGTACATCAAAGACAGTCAAACGTTAATAGTTTCAATCTTGTTGTAACTCATGTTTGTCTAGTACTGTTTGTATTTAAAATTACAAAAAGTTTATTTTTAAACATTTCATGCTCAACATAGTTTTTTCGATATTTGAAACGATATATTTAAGTAATTCGATCCTACTTTTAAAACATCACACGTGTTATAAAAACAAAATTTAGCTTTAATTTTATCATCATTATTATTTATATATTCTAGCTAGCAGAAAGCGCCGCCTATGTAGTGTTAGTCACAGCAACAAACCGTTTCGGTGGGGAATCTTTTTTTCCTTCCGTTCACGAAGTAAGACGTACAACAACTCCATTGGCTCTTAGCTTACAAGGGCCCACTCTTGTTCATCCTCTGTGTGACGTCACATTTAACGTAATCGTTGACGTCTGTGGTAATGTTAACGCGTCGACAACAAAACTTCAAGTAAGTCTCAAAACACAGTTTTATCAACGAAATAAAAACATTCGAAAATTAAATATATTTCTAGAATAGAAGGATAATAATGTGAAACGTATAATGTCATGGTGAAATAACATGAAATGATATTGATGGGATTATAATGTATAATGTCATGGTGAAATAACATGAAATGATATTGATGGGATTATAATGTATAATGTCATGGTGAAATAACATGAAATGATATTGATGGGATTATAATGTATAATGTCATGGTGAAATAACATGAAATGATATTGATGGGATTATTTGTTGTCATGGTGAAATAACATGAAATGATATTGATGGGATTATTTGTTGTCATAATTTCATAAAATGCATCAGTAAGGTATGTATTCGATTTCATAACGAAATGCCCCCCCCCCCCAACAAAAATCCACATAACAACTACTGGTGGAAGTTTTTATTGAACATTAGTATATATATATATATATAGTTTTGATGAAAACTTATGAACGCTCATCTGAACTTTGACATGCCTTGTATAATGTGTTTTTATCTTCATGTTACGTTTAAACGTACTATGTTTATTTTCAGTTCACTTGGTCCATATCGCCTGCAGCAGTTGATGTAACAGGATTTATTGGAAGTGGTGCTATTATCCCCAAAGGTCTCCTCCAATCGGGGATTACTTACAACATTTCGGTGACTGGTAGGTATTACATAAAACAGAGAGGTAACTAGATGAACAAACCGACACAAGATCAATATAAACAAACCTGATGAATGTTTTTCGTTTCTTATAGTGTCAACTATTAGCAATGAAAGCCAATGGAATGTAGCATCACAGGTTTTCAGCGTGAAACGAGCGAACTTAGAAGCTATTATTAGCACTTCCAACCTAGTGGTCGGAGATCAAACACCTTTCAAACTGGACGGCACTTTATCTTATGATCCTAGTGACTCTACTAGTCAACTTCAAATGTTATGGTCTTGCAAGGAAGAGTCATCCTTGGATACGTCTTGTTTTGGAGAGGATGTGTTGACTAGTGACCAGGTCCTTACTGTTCCACCAGGAGCGCTCCAACCTAACACGTGAGCTATAAAATCATGACATTATTGATTCCTTCTATAGAAGCTCAACAATAGAACATTTTATACTGACAATTACTATGACTGTGGAGATCATGATATTATTGATTCCTTCTATAGAAGTTCAACAATAGAACATTTTATACTGACAATTATTATGACTGTGGAGATCATGATATTATTGATTCCTTCTATACAAGTCCAACAATAGAACATTTTATACTGACAATTACTATGACTGTGGAGATCATGATATTGTTGATTCCTTCTATAGAAGTTCAACAATAGAACATTTTATACTGACAATTACTATGACTGTGGAGATCATGATATAATTGATTCCTTGTATAGAAGTTCAACAATAGAACATTTAATACTGACAATTACTATGATTGTGGAGATCATGATATTATTGATTCCTTCTATAGAAGTCCAACAATAGAACATTTTATACTGACAATTACTATGATTGTGGAGATCACGATATTATTGATTCCTTCTGTAGAAGGTCAACAATAGAACATTTAATACTGACAATTACTATGACTGTGGAGATCATGATATTATTGATTCCTTGTATAGAAGTTCAACAACAGAACATTTAATACTGACAATTACTATGACTGTGGAGACCATGATATTATTGATTCCTTCTATAGAAGTCCAACAATAGAACATTTTATACAGACAATTATTATGACTGTGGAGATCATGATATTATTGATTCCTTGTATAGAAGTTCAACAACAGAACATTTAATACTGACAATTACTATGACTGTGGAGACCATGACATTATTGATTCCTCCTATACAAGTTCAACAACAGAACATTTTATACTGACAATAACTATGACTGTGGAAATCATGACATTATTGATTCCTTCTATAGAAGTCCAACAATAGAACATTTTATACTGACAATTACTATGACTGTGGAGATCATGATATTATTGATTCCTGCTATAGAAGTCCAACAATAGAACATTTTATACTGACAATTACTATGACTGTGGAAATCATGACATTATTGATTCCTTCTATAGAAGGTCAACAATAGAACATTTTATACTGACAATTATTATGACTGTGGAAATCATGATATTATTGATTCCTTCTATAGAAGGTCAACAACAGAACATTTAATACTGACAATTACTATGACTGTGGAGACCATGACATTATTGATTCCTTCTATAGAAGGTCAACAACAGAACATTTTATACTGACAATTATTATGGCTATGGAAATCATGGTATTGTTGATTCCTTCTATAGAAGGTCAACAATAGAACATTTTATACTGACAATTATTATGACTATGGAAATCATGGTATTGTTGATTCCTTCTATAGAAGGTCAACAATAGAACATTTTATACTGACAATTATTATGACTGTGGAAATCATGATATTGTTGATTCCTTCTATAGAAGGTCAACAATAGAACATTTTATACTGACAATTATTATGATTGTGTCACAGATAAACGCTAAATCACAATCAGAAGAGAACATTAACCATCTATTTTAGTTTAGGAGGAACACGAAATATGTCCGTCTATAGTGGTTCAAGACGTTCCAAGGTCATCAGGAGGAAGCACTTGAAGCAATGTGTTTTGGAACATTAGAGCTGTTCATTAGTTTTTAACTTCTTAAATAAACTGTGCTGAAAAACAAAATTATATATGTTACAATACCAAATCTAAGAAGTACCAGTCTTATGACGTGATGTAACGTCACTGAACTCGCTCGTTCTTTCAGCCGTAGGGTCATTACAAGGTGACGGTCAGTCTCACTAATCGTTGGTAAAAGAGTAGCCCAAAAAATTGACGGTGGGTGGTGCTGACTAGCTGTCCTCCCTCTAGAGTATCACTTCTAAATTAAGAATGTCGGTACCCGCGTTGGGCAGATAATTGATAGCCCATCATTCGTTTACAACTGTAGTAAAAGAGAGAGAGAGTTCGTGTAGTTCTGAGACGTTTTCACGAACCAAAAGACTTGAATAAATCAGCATTATGAATGTGTCACATTACCCAGTTTTCTGTAATGAACTTCATTCTGTCTGAAAATATTACGTTACTCGTTACGTTTTGTTAACTATAATGTTTTATCTTCTCACAATCCAGATACAGCATTACACTGGAGGTTTCTAAAGACTCCAAGAAAGACGACAGCCAAACGACCCTAATCGTCCGCCAAGGGGAGTTGCCTGTTATCTATATAAAGAAGAAAAAAGCTGGTCGAGTTAATCCCACCGAAAAAATCATCGTGGACGCTTACGTCACAAGTCGAGGCAATGTCACACTTCGGTGGGAGGTCGTCATTGAGAAAGGTGAGTTTAATGGCAGAAACCAGCACGTTGCTATAGATATATTAATATACAGGTAGAAGTAACCTTAACACGCGACTTACAGTGTTAATAAGGTCCGTTTCGAGTCTGGAAATTATCTTAACAAAATTGTTTACTCTATAGGTTAGGGGGCGTTCGAATCGCAACCTATGAATCGCGGGTTCGAATCCCCTTCCCCAACATTCTCTCCTTTTAATCCGTGGGTGTGTTATAATGTTAGGGTGAAACCCAATATTCACTGATCAAAGAGTAGACCAAGAGTTAGCGGTGGGTGATGTTGACTAGCTGCCTTACCTTTAGATTATCACTTCCAAGTTAGGTGCAGCTAATCGAAACAGCCTTCGAGTAGTTTCGCCCAAACAAACAACACGTGGATAGATGCAGTGGCTATTACACTCTCATTGGACCAAAGAAGTTAGATTGAAGCATGCATCGAATACCATGGTAACGCAAGGGTCTAACAGGCGTTTCAGCACAGTCACAAATAAATTTACACAAAAACAAATAAAAAGTTCCCATATTCTCCTCTAAAAACGAATGTAGCTTTGGGAATTATTTTATTCTATCTTTAGAAGTATAATTTGTGATGGTCAAGAACCTTGAAGAACTCTTTAAGAAAAAGCGGGAAATCCATAGTTATTTGTAACAGTGCTCGAAAATAAAAACATAAGAAATTAAGCTGGGATATTCGACTGTTGAAAATAGGTTATTTATGTAATTAAAAATTAAGAGTTCTCCAGTGGCTTAGGGGTACGTCTAAGGCATTTCACACTAAAATGTGGGTTTCGATATTCGCTAAGGGCAGATCACAGGTAGCCCATTGCGTAGCTTTGCGCTTAACAACAAGACAAGAAAAAAATAAAACGATTATAGTTTCATGATGCCCACAAGTGACAAAATTTAAAATTAAGAAATTAATATTTTTTTTCTTCATCAAACCAATTTATAAGAAAGTAATCCAAAAACGATATTATACAATCTTTTTAGTTTTTTTAGTTGTAAGCCTTTTATTGAGAGTCAGACAATTTCAGAATTTGCCACGGTCGGTCTCGAGGGGGTGACGCCATCAGTGAAACCTAAAGATTTCATGAGCTCATTAGTGGATCGCCCCTTTCCTCTGATGCTTCCAGCTGCTAACACCCAGTGGCCAGGGCTCTTGGGTGACGCCTTCTACAAGTTTCGTCTAATGGCAGAACCAATGGATGGCGGGGAAGCAGGCTATGCCGATATCATTATAGAAACTAACAACCCACCGATTGGACCCCCGTTAGAGGTGAAATTATAGCTTCAATCTCCAGCTGTTTTTTTAAAACACTTAATTGATCTTTCATTAATTACAGCTAAGCTAATGAAGTTGTCATGAAAAAAGTTACTTGAGGAAAATCTTTGAAGAAACATATTAACTTCTCAGTCTGTGACCCCTCAGTGGCTTAACGGTGAAGTCTGAAGACTTAGAACGCTCAAAACCGATACACGTGATAGGCGTAGCACAGATGGACCATTGTTCAACTTTGTGCTTCACAACAAGCAAACTTTATGTGTGTTTTTCAGAATTTGTACTACACACTGGAGGGATTTAGACAATAAAGTTAGGAAAAAACAGCCTTTATTCTCCAGATAATAATTTAAAAAACTGTAAAACAACCTTTATTATCCAGATAATAACTTAAAAACTGTAAAGCAACATTTATTCTCCAGATAATAATTTAAAAACTGTAAAGAACCGTTATTATCCAGATAATAATTAAAAAACTGTAAAACAGCCTTTATTCCTCCAGATAATAATTTAAAAACTGTAAAGAACCGTTATTATCCAGATAATAATTAAAAAACTGTAAAACAGCCTTTATTCCTCCAGATAATAATTTAAAAACTGTAAAGAACCGTTATTATCCAGATAAT